TCTACTGGTTAAGAAATACGCGTATGTATTAATGCTATAAAACTGACCCCATATACGCCGAAGTTTTCTTTGAATCTTGAGTGGGAATGGTTAAAAAAATCAAAGTACTGAAAAAAATCTCAAGTCATAAAAGGAGAAACATGTGGATTTAAATACAATACGAGTTATAACGATGTGTATTCAACTATTCATACGAGCTAAGACGGCTTAGCCAATGTGTTTTTGGTGTAATACTTGTAACCTAACAATTCCAAAATTGAATTCAAAGTTGAAAAAGGCAACCATTACGACTGAAGCCTCAAAAACCTAATAATTTTGTCACAGCCCTGTAGGAAAGGGAGGCGATGGAGTGGAAAACGGGGAGTGGCATTAATGCAACGACAATGGCATAAAGTAGGGTGGTGGGCCTTGGCAGTTCTACCTGTGTGAAAAAATGCATTCAAAGTGTAGCTGTCTAGCTCTGCATTTGCATGCCTGGAATTCGTCTTTGAATGGACAAGAAAATTAAGAGAGGAAGAAATAGGGTCCGGTTTCGGACTACAACTCCATTGAGAGTGAAAGGGCCATGTGGTTTGTGGGTCTTTTGATGCTGACACAACCTTACCCACCCCACCCCCTTTGCCTCCTAAAATTACACCTTGATTCCTTGTTTTAATTCGTTGAATTGGGGTTTTTGAAAAGGAAACGGAAGACTATTGCATGATTATTCAGTTTGTAGATGGCTAAATTCTAGACAGAAATTAACTTGATTGATGATGTCTTTGTTATTCTTAGGATTGATTTGCGGTCAGCGGAACATGTCATATGGTTTTCCAGAGAATCCAGACTGAGTCACGCAACGCGATATTTAGTTAGGGTTACTCAAAATGCATAGAAGAGAAGCGTTCAATTAGATTTTGACATTGTGAAGAATTGTAATCGTGAGTTTTTTAATATTTTATTATATGCAAAATTATATATTAATATGACCTCATTGCATATTTAATCAAGATAATTCAAATGTACGGAAGAGAAATGTTCAGTTAGATTTTGTCACTGCAACAAAGTATTGTGATTGTGAGTGCAGTGTTGTGATTGTGAGTTTTTGAATATTTTATTATATGAAAAATTATGTTATTATTTGATAATATTTTAAAATTTTTTATATATTAATACTATTACAAAATTATATATAATATTAATTAAAATTAATTTAATTATTAAAAATTAATACTTTTATGTGATGTCATGAGAAAAAAAACTATAAGAAAGTAATGTTACATGCAACCTTTTTCTTCGGCATATTACTCTCTCACTCTTAATTTTAAACCTTATGATTCATTTTAAAAAATGAATGTCAAATTTTGTCACGTGAATTTATTATTAATAGATTATTTTGAAATCTTTAAAATCATATTTTTGCACTAAGAAGAAAAGATTGATTTGTGAGAAATTATCTCTTTGTGATATTTTCTTCAATTGAAATCTTGTTAGTCAGACAATGGAGCATCAAAAATAATCTAGTAGTGGCCTAGAGATTTTTGAGGTTTCTTTTTTGGTAGAAGATGTTAAGTTGATTTTGGTAGGTGAAAGAGAGTTTTGATGGTGGGGCATTGTTGTTTTGGATAAATAATTGATGATGGCCGGAAGGCATTCAAGCTTTCCTTCCACATTCAATTCCATTTATCAAATTCTTGTTGTGTAGTTGGGAAATTTTACTAACCATGTGTACATTTAAAATTTTCCAGCTCACATCTTTTTATTGAGCAAATTCTTTACACTTTTTCTTGGGTAGTGCTGTAGAATTTTTTTGTTTTATAATTTTTTTACTTAACTTTTATACTTCGTTAAATAAGTAAATATATTTAATATCATAAATTTTAAATAAATAAAAAAATTAATCATTTAAATAACACATAAATTTATATTAAAAAATAATGTAAAAAAATTATCTTAAAATCATTTTCATCTTTTTCTTTTAATTTTGGGTTGGATAATAAAAAGTAACTATTTTCATCCCTTATAAATAAACTTGATATGCAAGTTGTGCAACTAAAATTTATGGGCTTAATTCAATTTTTAGTCTATTAACTATTAAATTAATTTCATTTTAGTTTAGAAAGTTTATTTGCTTTCTAAATGGTCTATAAACTTTGGAGAATATTTCAAAATGGTCTACCGTACAAGATTTTGTTAGATTTAATGGAAATAGTAGTCCTTTAAGTTTTGAAAAAATGACATTATAATCCTAATAAAATATGATGACTTAAGAAATATTTCGTAAAGATAAATTAATTAGAATTTGTAATAAACTTGAATAATTAGCTAAATTCAAATAAAGAAATTTAATAAATTTAGAATGAAAAGTTTTAAGAGTAAGTATGTTTTATATGGCAGATTGTATACAATTGGTCTTGTAAAATTATTTAAATGTTCTTGAAAAAATAATATAAAAATAAAATTAAAGGCATTTAAATAATTTTACAGAATGAACTATATACAGTCCGCTTTGTAAAATAGTTTTTTGAAAAACACATTTAACAAGATATGAATAAAAACTATTTTTATGGTGAATATAAATTTAAAGACTAAAAGATCAAAAGAAATATAGTCAAATGACTAAATATTTTCTTCTAGAATAAGAAGATTCGTTAAAAATAACGGACATTTCCATTAAAGATAACGGATTAAATAAAATTGAAATAAATGTAAAAGATAATAGATAAAATTGAAAAAATTATAAAAATTAATAGATGATTTGTTAAATTAACCCAAAACTTATGACTTGTTACTTTCATTGTAAGGAAACTATCACCAACCTTATTTGTTTTATTTTGTCATAAATTTCTCTAAAGCAATCACATATAAATGTCTAGGGAAAAAAGGATCTCTTTAGTTAAAAACTTTCCCTGAGAATAACTTCAATTCAAATTTAGGTATACTATTTTTTTTTTAATCAACCAATTTAGGTATACCACTACTATTTTTATTTTGATTCAAACAGTTCTAACAGACTCCAATGGCTTAATAAATGTTTTACTACATTACATGTACTAATTAACAGAATAATCCATGTTTATATATAGGTTATAAATAATGAGTAATTATATATCTTGGTATATTTTAATGCATAATAGTTCAAGGTATTCATTACTACTGTGATTACAGAAAGTGTCTGTTTTCATTTAAAACATCAATAATAATTGATTTAATTAAGCATGGTTTATTATTATAATTATGTTATTCCATTTTTATGTCATAATTATGTTATTCTTTGACTCTGGCTTTATTCAGGAATCACAAAATGATGGAACAAAGAAAATCAACGCTGCAAGATCAAAGAAATATAGCAAGCAGACGGAAATTATTGTTGTATTTGAAATTATTGTGAAAATAGCTTTTTTAATATTTTATTATAAAAAATTATATTATTATTTGATAATTACTTTAAAAATAGTT